TGATTAAACAACTTAACAACTTAACAACTAAACAACTAAACAACTAAACGATTAATTTGAGCACGTGATCTCATAATTGATTAGTTGCAACTATAGTTGGCAACTAATCGATTGGCAAAATTTTACCAACTCGGAACACTACCAAGTATCTACTTAATATTCTTGCTCAGAGACTTTGCTCTACTTGTTTCTAGAATAAACCTTCTAGTTTGGATGCTGAATGTGTGAAGGAGTTTGTCAAAAAAAAAAAACTTGACCCAAGGCACAAACCCGCCTAATATTCTTATATGCCCACTCCTTGGTGTTTCATGTATTGTAGGCTTCATCGACAACAAGTTTGCTTAGTGCAAAACCAAAATATTGCTGTGTCCACTATGTTGCTTTCCTATATTGCTGACTGTAGTTCGATAAATTGTTGTTGACCAAGTGATCGTCAGAAAGAGTTGTGTACAGTAATACTTTTACTATTTTATTTTGCAAATTAATAATATTATAATTATAAATATGCATTATTTTTTTGATACATCCTGCACTCAGTGCACCCTCTTAATATCTCAAAATTTTATTAGGGTAACCCTGTTGTGTAACTAATAAAAATATTCACCATAAAGTTTTTATCCTAACCTTTAACCCTAACCCTAACTCTAATTTAATCCTTATTTATATTGATTTTGCTATAGAAGGCACCGAGTGCCCCTCACCAAATAAATTTATTCATTATAAATAAGTTCATAATATTACCAACTTTTACAAGAAGATTTTCAAATTTTTAGATCGGATCTGTCGGCGTTTAACAATATAAGTTAATCATTCCTGGACCAAAATTATCAACTGGGCAGCTTTACTTAATGAGCGGGCTATGGCTAAGACTTCATTAGTAAATCTTTTAGTGACCTTGGGCAAAATTAGTTAATTCCGGCCCTGCTGATCATGATTCCAAGGTATTCTGATCCGGAAATCTGAAAACATCCTCGTATGAGTTAATATTACCACGATTTCATGAAATATCAAAATCCAAGTTTCTATTGCCCAATAGGTCCCACATGAAGCACATAGAATACCGGCCGTCGATATGAATATTTTTCACTGTTTTACCCATCTTAAATATCCAATTAAATTTCTAGTTGTTTAGTTGTTTATGAGCAGATAAATATATAAAAAAGAAACTAATTTTGAAATATTGAAATCTTATTTAAGGATTTATGAAAATAACGATCATTATGGTGCAATTATCTAGACATCCAACTTGCGACTTTTAGTAAATATTGAGAAAATTATTTTTTCGAGGATTTAACTTTACAGATTTTTTTTAAAATACGAGACAGGCTTTTGTTAGGTGACACATAATATATAATGCTATGCAATTTCGCGGCCTAAACCATCCTCCCCTGTAAAGGTTTATTATAACGATAAGAATATTTCTATAGTGAGTATTATACGTATTTATAACAGGGTGAGAAATAGTTACATTTTGATGCAAATCCCACCTAAAATAGTATTAAGTCAAGAAAATTATAACCTCTGCGGATTTCACCTTTTCATATTATATTTATTATATGCAACCTTGCATATTACTTTTTAATGTAGCAATTGTTTCAATTTTGGACATTACAAAGCATGGAGATACTTAATTCGAGAAATATCCGCAGGGGGGGTATATTATCGATAAACATTACTAATTAAAAATTTTATTCGGTAATTCAAGCAAGTTGTTAAACCAATTTTATGATAATAAAAATGAAATACCGGTACGTATAATAAATAATTACCCAAATAAACTAATAAAAGAATTTCTCAATAGGGCCAATTTTCTAAATTGATTTTGAATTTATCAGGTCTATCATGAAATATGTTCAGATACAACATAAGGGGCCCACCACGTTTTTAATTAGAAAATAAATAACGATAAGTAAATAAATTTTTTTTAAAAGTATATTGATTGATTGATTGATTGATTGATTGATTGAAATAGTTTTCACATATATCCCGCGTTTAATTAATAAGATTACATCGTATGCATCAAACTATAATTTACGTCATAGTGACATAATAACATGAGATAATGACAGGGCCCATTAGGGGGTGAGATGGCATATGATCTACAAACATAGTGAAGATCATATATTAATTTCATAATATAAGTTTTTTTGTCGATCATTCTTCTTAATAGCAAAAATATATAAAATTTCAAATTGAAATAACTCCCAAGTTACTTAAGAGATGTAAGCAAAATTATATTTATTAGATTCCTCTTAACATTCTTATTAAAGTAATAGAGCTCTTTTTTTATTTTTCATATAAGTTAAAGCGAAAACTAATTACTAAAACACGATTAATTTTATAGAAATAAAAAAAAGGGCTCTATTACTTTAAAGATAATGTTAAGAATAATCCAATAAAAGTAATTTACTTGCATATTTTCAGTAGTTCAAAAAGTTATTAGAGTTTAAATTTTATATCGGTATGTTTTTACTATCGATGATCATCAATCACAAATCAGCCAATCATGATTGTTCCAAATATAGTATATATATATTAGGACTAGCTGCAAAAATTTTTTAACTTTAACACTTTAACGCTAATATATTTGGGCCAAAGCTACTAGTCATGAATATTTCTTAATCATAATGTGTTTGGACCAGAATTATTAGTCATGAAAGTTTTTTAATTGATTGGAGCCGGAACTATATTTAATTTATTGGAGCCGGAACTATACATAATTTATTGGAGCCGGAACTATATTTAATTTATTGGAGCCGGAACTATACATAATTTATTGGAGCCGGAACTATATTTAATTTTAATTTGTTGGGTCAGAACTATTTATTCACAATGTTTTTTTTTTTATTTAATTGAAACCAAAGCTATTACTCACAATGGTTTTTAATTGGGGTTAGAGCTATCATGCAAAGTGATATTTTTATTTAATTAGGGTCAGAACTATTGATCGTAAAGTTTTTTTATTTAATTTGAGCCAGGGTTGGTATTCACAATTATTTTTTTTATTTAATTAAGGCCAGAACTATTACTTTTTATAGCTTTTTATTTAATTAGAATTAGAACTATGTTACGAAGAGGGCCGGAACTATTATTTAATATTTAATTTGGACCAGATCTATTAGCCACGAAGGTTTTTGTTTAATTTTAATTTATTGAGACCAGAACTATTATCCACGATAATTTTTTTTATTTAGTTAGAACCAGAACTATTATTCATACACGTAATTTTTTATTTAATTGGGTCAGAACTATTACTTATGGTAATTTTTTTATTTAATTTTAATTTATTGGGCCAGAACTATTACTCACGATGATTTTTTTATTTAATTTTAATTATTGGAGCCGGAACTATTTACTTACGATAATTTTTTATTTAATTTCAATTTATTTGGGTCAGAGCTATTTACTCATGATGATGTTTTAATTAATTTGGACAAAAACTATTACTTACGACTATTTTTCTTGACTAAAATTATTACTTATAATTATTTTTTTATTTATTGGATTCAGAACTATTATTTATAATGATTTTTTTACTTAATTGGAACCAGAACTATTACTCACGATAATTTTTATTTAATTGGAGCCAGAGCCATTATTAGCGATGATTTCTTTTATTTAATTGGGCCAGGGCTATTATTTATGATAATTTTTATTTAATTGGGACCAGAACTACAGTATTACTTATAATTATTATTTTATTTATTTAGAGTCATAACTATTACTTATGAAGGTATTTAATTTGTTGGGATTGGGATTTTTATTTATGATAATTTTTTATTTTATCAGGGCCGGAACTATTAGCTATAAAGTTTTTTTAAAGAATCTTATTGTAAAGTATTATTTTGCTTATAATAAAATTTATTTACCTAAAATAGTCATTATTAAAATGTAAACATGTAAACAAAGTATTTTATTGGCTTATTTTTATATAAATAAATTATAAATTTTAAAATCGTTTATTTTTATTTTTACTATTAAAATGTTGCCCAAAAAGCGAAATACTCATTTAAAAAAAGCTCGACAGGCAAAAAAGTTAAAATATTCCAACAAATCTGAGTTCTCTGTAGTAACAAATAATAATAACATTGAAGTAGAATCAGAATTAATATTAAACCAAAATTTTAATATATTAAATACTGCAATATATATTCCTTATGATTTGTCTGAGTCTGAATCTAATGAGTCTGAATCTGATGAGTCTGAATCTAATGAGTCTGAATCTAATGAGTCTGGATTAGGATCTGAGAATTTATTTCAAGAATTACAATATTCAACTAAATCAGAATTTAAATTGCGACAAGAATTACATTCAAAAGTAAATAGTATTTCTCAGCATCAGCTTTCAAGAGCAATTTATATGTTAAATAATATGATTTATACAAAAGGAAAATATCAAGGAGAACTTATTTCAGAATATTGTCAAAAAAAGATTTTAAAATTATTAGATAATTTTTTATATAAACATGAATCAGATGCAATATCTTTAACTCAAAAAATGAAAAAATTAGAAAAAGAAAATCAAAAATTTCAAAGAGAATTAGAAGAATCAAAAAAGCAAATAAGATCACTTAAAATAGCTATAGCAAGTAAAGATAAAACAAAAGTTCAACATATTTCAAAAATCAGATCTGCAATTCAAAAAGCTAAAAAAATAACACCAGAAAATTTTAAAAAATCAGCTAAAAAGCTTTTTAAATTTAAAAATGAGTATTCAGCACAGTTTTTACAAATGGCTACAGAAATTAGTAATTTAGGACAAATTTCTTTAAAATCAACAGTAGTGTGCACTAAAAAATTTTATGAATTTATTACTGGAGAAGAACCAGAAAAATGGATTAATATACATACACTATCAAGATGGAATAAAGAAGTTGCAGCTCTTCAACTTGATTCAAATAAACCTAAATCATATAATATTTCTAATTATGGTTATGGTCTATTAGTAGATGAAAGCAAAAGAGGAGAAAGAAAAATTTTAATAGTTGCTACATCTTTTTGGAATATTGAAACAAACTATCCTATGTTTAGTATATTAGGAGTTGATGATTTAATACATTGCAATTCCAATACTGTTGCCACTAGTGTTACAAAAATTTGCAATAATAATAACATTGATTTTAAAAGATGTATATTTTGGTTAACAGACAATACATCATATATGTCTTCAAATAAAAATGGTGCTGTTGTAAAATTTAATACTTTAAACCAATCTACATCTTTTAGAATTCCATGTGCACTACATGCAACACAAATTGCTTTAATGAATTTTGAAAATAATGCATTTGGAAAAATAGATGGCCCTAAAGGATCTTATAAAGAACATCCATTTAATCTTATTAATTTAGCTTTTAAAATTCATGATGGACATAGTACAACTGATAAAGATAATCCAATGAATTTAAGATCTGAACATATTCACAAACTATATGAAAAACTTTTAAATTATACATTTAGCAAATATCAACAACCAATTATAACAAGATGGAAATATCAATTGATTGCAGCTCAACAATATTTATCTAGACAAGATGCACATATTAAATTTTGTAATTGGTTTCTTCCACAACTTGAATCAATTAAAAATGTTCCAAAAACTTATATATCTCAATGGAAATTATTTAATGAATGGTTACAAAATAGGAAATTAAATATTCAAATCAAATGTCTTGTAAAATTTGGTACAGAATTTTATTTTCCTATTTATGAATTTGTAACACAATATGATCCAACTCCTAGAATTTATACAGAGCAAAAAATAGAAAACCTTCCTGCCGGTTATAGAGCTCATGAAATGCCTGATGCTGTATTAAAATGGATTGAAGATATAAAAAATGCACAAGAAAATATAGCAGAATTATTTGAAGAAGAACTTGAAGAAGCAAATTTTTATTTAAATATTGAAGAATATCAAGAACTTTATATATCTTTAGAATCTGGCTTAAAAAATGCATATGAAGGATTTTGTAAATGGATGTCACCATGGATACATTTACCACTACTTGTTTGCACATTAGGAGGCTCAAATGGATCATTATTTGCAAGTGCATTTCTTAAAGTATATACTAATACTGAATTGCAAGAATCTCAATCTCAATCTAATATAGAATTAAATTATATTGAGATTCTAAATAATGACAAAAAAGAAGGATTATCTAATACTTGGGGATTATTAGAAGCATTTGAAGATTTAGAATTTAAAAAAGAATTTATAAAATATGCAAACTCACCTGATATAATGCTTTATAATTTTCCATTAATATATAACTTTGTAAAATACCGAATTTGGAGTATTGTCATTCATCAACAACAGCTTGAAGGAATGTTTAATCGATATGATCTGAAAGTAAATCCAAGTATGAGTATGAATTTACAAGAATCAAGACTTGTTCTTGCAGCACCTACTCAAAAAATACAACCACAACCAGTTACAACATCTAAAATTAAAGAAATTCGTGAAAAATTAAAAGATAAAAAGATATCAAATTATGAAGATAAAAATACAAAACAAGATGAAAATACCGGAACAGAAGCAGCTAAATCATTATTAAATTCTTTATTAAATAAGACTAATAATTCTGGTCTTAATTAAATAAAAACATTATCATGAACAATATTTCTGGCCCAAATTAAATAAAATTTATTGTGAATAATAGTTCTGGCCCCAATAAATAAATAAAACCATTATAATAGTTCTGGCCTCAGTTAAATAAAAAATCATCATAAATAATAGTTTTGCCCCACTTAAATAAAAAATATTATAGGTAATCGTTTCGGCCCTAATTAAATAAAAAAATCATCGTGAGTAATAGTTCTGGCCCAATGAATTAAAATTAAATAAAGAATCGTAATGAGTAATAATTTTTACCCCATTAAATAAAAAATCATTGTGAATAATAGTTCTGGCCTCACTTAAATAAGAAAATCGTCATGAGTAATAGCTCTGACCCTAATTAAAAAAAAATAATTGTGAGTAATAGTTCTAGCTCAATAAATTAAAATTAAATAAAGAATCATAATAGGTAATAGTTTTTACCACAATTAAATAAAAAATCATCGTGAATAATAGTTCTGGTCCTCTTAAGTAAAAAAATCATCGTATCGTGAGTAATAGTTCTGGCCTTAATTAAATAAAAAAATCCTCATGAGTAATAGTTCTGGCCCAATAGATTAAAATTAAATAAAGTATCGTAATAAGTAATAGTTTTTACCCAAATAATTCTGGCCCCACTTAAATAAAAAATCATCGTAAGTAATAGTTCTAGCCTTAATTAAATAAAAAAAAATTATCGTGAGTAATAGTTCTGGCCCAATAAATTAAAATTAAATAATGAGTAATAGTTTTTACCCCAATTAAATAAAAATCATCGTAAACAATAGTT